AGTATCGAGTATCAACCAACTTTAGCCTGCACCAAAGCCGACTATCTCACTACTTTCTAATGGCTAAGTGGTGTAAACTAAGGTTCTATGGTCAGTTAGTGTTTATGACACTACGCGGAAGCCCATCATTCTCCTTGGCTGAGCCAAGAGACACCGGTACAAACCAATGTGTTGCACTAACATAGCCATCGTTTCAACCATATCGGTCTACGCTGTACAATTTTCACGATCTATTGCTACTTACCTAAAATGCCCCTAGATCTGGGTATAGGATTTATACAAGAAATAAACCCAAGCATATCCCGAAATATAAAGCATATAAAGAAAGCAAGTAAAGAAATAAAGGTGAACTAACTCTAAAGGTAACCCCACTTTTAGTTATTTCCCCAGCAGAGTCGCCAGATCTGTAATACGGTGGGAGAACTAACTTTTTGGTTTTGCGTTTTATCGCAAATGTTGCAGATAGCAAGAGTCGCCACCGAATTTTCTTTTATCCAATAAAGGAAAGGGTGAAAAGAACAGGAAATACCTTTGAGAATTTTCTAAGTTCGGGGGGTAGGTTATGAAAAGGGAAGGTGTTAGCACCCTCTTCATCCGTAGTTACCTATGGGCTCTTAATTGCTAGCTCACTTTTTGAAATGCTTTGTGTTTATGTATGTTTGAAAATATTTTAAAAATTCCTAAGTACGACAATTTTGTAATGATTCTCATATTGTTGAGAATGTATACAAAATGTTTGTTTTGAAAATATTTGTTGAAAGGAAGTGTTGTTTTGTGAAAAGGTGTTTTGAAAATGCCAATGTAAGGTAGTTTGCTTTATAATAACCCTTGTATCAGCCCTCAAGAGTGTTTATAAAGTGTTTTGAAAGTAGTTGTTTTGAAAGTGTGAAGTGTAAAGATTGTTTTAGTTTGTGAGCAAGCGATTACGAGCGATTTACCTGCTCAAAAAGTCTTTCGCGTTATTTTCCTCTTCCTTTAGATAGTGCTATCATACCATTAGTTAGTAGGAAGCCATATCATTGGATGTGAGGGACAGGCGTGGGTCATCGTACAATCATAGATGGCAACTTGTAGGACGCTTTAGCAATTGTCGTAAGGGACTAAGATCGTTTACCAAAGGCAGCATCGAAGGGTCATCAAGGGACTACAATCTTTTAACTGAAGGTCTTTGTTAAAGCATGCATCCCATGTTTGAGGGACATGACTGTTTAAATCCGAGGCAACAAGTGAGGTTACCCTAGAGGTGCGTGTGTGAAAAGTGATTTGTTTTCAGTTAATTTGTCTTGATTAGGTTTTCTAATGTTTGCTCTTTTTGCGTCTTGCCATGCAAGCCTAATTACTTGCAATTATATATATATATATATATATATATATATATATATATATATATATATATATATATATATATATATATATATAGCAGAAAATAAAAAATGCGGGAAATAAACTACGTTATTACATCGCTTCGGGGATGGGGAGTACAAACCATAAATTGGGGAGGAAAAGTAAAGTAAACCTAATTATCTATTACAGACCGTTAACAGTTACAATATTGGAAAATATTAATACGAAAGTAAAGTGCGCGAAGGTGGTGAAAAGGGAAAGATATTTAAAACCTAAAAAATTCTAAGTATTTAGAAAATATTTTTGGTGTTTTATTTAGAAAAATATTGGAAGTGATTAATATAAATAAAACTTAATTCTTAGTTAGTTTACAAATTAATCATTTAAAATAAAACAAGGTGATTAAATTAAATTTAATTATCAAAAATAAAATTAATTAATTAAAAACCTTAATCTAAATTTTTTTATGACTTTATGATTTTTGTTGATTAAATAAAAAAAATGAAATTGGTTAAAGAAAAGAAAATGTTAATTAAAATAAAAAATAAGAAATTAAAATAGGCCTGCAGTATAAGAAATTTGGGGGGTGTGAGAAACATAAACGTTGGGCCTAGATCATGTAAGCCTAGTCCACCTGCCTGAGATCTAGCGTGTTTCTCCAAGTAGGTCCACCGTGGGCACGCAAGCTCTAGCGCGTTGATCTAGATCTTTGAGAGATCCAAGGGTGATGAAGAGAAGGGTGTACCATGTTCTTGCATAGGCTTAATGTGTTGAATCTGTAAGAACAAAATGTGAAAAAAATAAAAGGGTACTACTGGGGCTTGAACCCAGGTCCCTCTAGTATATGCGCGCTTATTTTACCACTGGGGTGGCTGTTTCATCCGGTTATGAAATACCCCCAGTAAATATATTATAAAACATGTTTTGAAATTTGAAATTTCCAGCACACCTCTTTCTTCTTCCTCGTGCGCTTACTGTAACAACAACATAACTTCATCTTTTTTGATTTTGTAAAATCCTCATTTCTCAACCAAATTGAACACTTCTAAAACCAAACATGTTTAATTTTTTCCAAGGAATGCAACCATATAAATTATGAAAGCTATAGGTTAAAGATGAGCGTGAATTTTGTTTGGTACCAAACTGAAAACCTAATATTTCAGAAAACTCAATTCAAAAATTCTCATCACACAGTTAACATAAATAAAAACTAAGGACATGGTTAGTTTTAGGGCAATCATATCTACATTTTATCTTTTGAAATTGAAAGCAAATGATGCGTGTATACGGGGTTTTGAAATTCAAGAAAACTTACCTCTTGAAGCAAAACTCATAACTCGTTCCACCACTCCCAGTGACAAAGTAATGGTGCAAACAGCTTCCTTCAACTCCCAAGAAGCTAATGATATGCTCAGCTTGCCTTAGAATCCTCTGAAACTTTCCAACCAAATCAAGTTTCAAATGGTGAAAGTGAGGTTTGAACGATGATAGTGGAGGTGTTACATTCGTGCCAAGAGTGTTTGGACAACTTCTATTGGATGGATAAAAGGTATTTGAATGATAAAAGAGGAAAACACACGAGTGGATTTGAAGTTGGGTGTTGGAAGCTTCAAATGTGCAACAATAGTGCTTTTTGAGAAAAAAAATTGTGTCTTGGTTCTGAGCCTTGCCTCTCTATTTATAGAGGTTGAAAATGGTCCTTCTAACTTGCATAAATTGTTCTTAGTTCACAAGGAAAGCTGGTTTGGTCATTTGGTTTTAAAATGCACAAAAAAGCATGTTGCTTCATGATGAAAAAAAGAGTGATTCAAGGGATTTTCCATGATTTTGCTGACCTCTAGAAGTTGATTCTGATATGGAGATTTTGTATGATCTGATTAGGAGCAAGTTACAAGCTTAAGTGAGGAGTTGTTGACATAAAGCTTGCTTTATCAAAGAGGCAAAGTGACTTTATGCAAATTCATCCAAAAATGGCATCAAGACTTGGAAAAAGCTTTAGATCCTTGTGTAATACACTTAGGACCTTTGTAAATCTCTGATCAAGGTGAGATTTAGAAGTTAAATGATGATTTGATCAAATGATGAATATCACCTCAAAAATGTTGATGTTGACAAAAAATCTTGAAGTTTGAGTGTATATTGACCATAGTTGACTTTTTACTCAATACAGTTTATTTTTAATCTTCTGAACCATTGACTAAGCAAACATGTGATGCAAGACTTGAAACTTGACATAAGCATTATTGAGAACCTATGATGAACCATGAAAGTAAATTGAGACCCTTGTAGACCAATTTTCTTTGAGAAGCACCAAACCCTAATTGAATACCCTTGCTTAGGAGGTGGTTTTGACCAATCAACTCTTGAGTAGTTTTGAGCAAATCAGGATCTCATGAGAATGTCTTGAAGAAATGTACATAAATCAGAAACGTACCTACACTAAACCAGTTCAACTTGATTGAACCAACAAAAACAAGAGCATAGTTCACTTCATCCAAACCAACCTTCATTAATCAAAAACAATTACCCAGTTCAAATTCAACTAACAGCTGTAGTAGTAAACTAACCTTGTTAAACCCACTTCTAACGGTTTCATAAATCTTCAATTCTCATGACTTTACTCAGAGGACGGTTGGCCTGCAGAAAAAATGAGAAGGGATTAAATCAGGAAATTAAGCTTAGAAAAAAAAAATAAGAAAATACAAGGTAGAAGGCATCGGATTATAAGAGGAGAAAATGAAATTATGACAAAGAAAAAAAAGGTCAACAAAGTTATAATATACTTAACCAACTCCTAATAGAACTTCAGAGTCTATAACCAACTTTAAATTCCAGAATCTCAAGCTCCATAACTGATAAATCCCCACCCTTCAAACTTCTAACTAACTTCATAACACAATTTAACAAACCTCAATCTCACCATCAATCACTAACTGAAACCTCTTAATCCTAAGGCTGAGATCTTCCCTCTACTAACTGCTTCCATTTCCTCTAACCGCTATATAATAGAGCCCTCATCTTCATTCCTCAATCCATCATTCACAATTCACCATAAACCTCCATTCACTATCATTCTGCAAGTTCAGCAAAATTCAGAAGATCCAATCTTCAAACTCTCAGTAATCTTCATCTCAAGCTTCTCCACCTTCATCTCTATCAAGTTCCTTCATCATATTCACTTTTCAACAACAACTGCATCAATCTTCTTTTTTTATTCAAATGCAACATCGTCATCCATGCTGCATTAACAACTACATCGCATAAAATCACTTCTGCAACTTCATTAACATCTTGCACCTGCTTCATCAACAATCACCTTCATCTCTGCATTTTTCATAACCACATCAATATCATAATGCAACAACAACAATCACACTCAGCGCACAATAATAGATCGTAATTTTTATCCTACATAAGGTTTAGAAGAAGAGGAATTGCCATAAAAGGAAGGGAAGCGTAATATTACATGAAGATTGAAGCTCTGGGTTTCTGTGTTCTTCATCACTGTCGAAGGGCCACCGGAGTTACTCCGGCAGGTAATCTTTGATCCCATCATTTCTTCACCTTTTTGCATCGAGCTTGTTACCACGTCATATGTCTTGGCTTGCTGAATAATTCCCCTAATGCCTCAATATTCAATTCAATACCATTATCATTTAATTGCAGATTGAAACTCCTAGGGTTTCGTTAGTTTTCTTTATATTTGAGGAGATTAAAAATGGAATTGGAGAAAATGAGTATTTGGAAAGAGCGGGAAGAGAAGTCGAACAGAGAGGGAAGATTGAGTCACTAAGAGGGTTAGAGATCGGAGATGAGGAGAAGGAAAAGGTTGAACAAACTGGAAGACGGAGAAGAGAGGAACGGAGACGGAAAGGTGAACGATAGAGATGAGAGGTGAAGGTAGTCATAAGATCTGAACAGTCACAAATGTTAACCCTATTTGCCTTTCTCAAAACACACGTTCCCTTTTTTACCTTTCCTTGTTTATTTTTTTTAATTCATAATAATAATAATAATATTAATAATAATAATAAATGTTAGATAATTTGATGGTGATGTTGAACTGAACTCTCTCTGGGCCGAAATGCTTTTTCTTGCTAAGCCCATTTCCATTTTTGGAGTATGGAATGTCTTGGACAATAAAAGGAACTCTTTCTGGACTCAATGTTTGGGCTCAACGCCTGCTGACCACACCTTGTGGTTCTAACTTCACACCCCCTGACTCTCCTATTCTCATTTCTTTTTTTTTAGTTTTTTTCCTAGTTTTTGTTAATAATAAAAATACATAATAAAAACATTAAACAATATATTATATTTAGGAGACATTTTTAGGAATTAATTAGGGAATTTCTTTTTCCCTTTTATAAATCTTTTGGTCAATTTTAATCACTAGTTTTATTCATTTTCATGACACATGTTCGTCTGTGATTTTTGGTATTATTTTGGTATAGATTATGCAATATTTAATACTTGTTGCTTGATGATATTCACGATTAAATGCTTGTGTTATTACCATGCCTCCTTAGGTTTGTTTTAATTCAATTTTAATCTCTTGATTAAATTGAATTAATTAGATATTAGGATTTAAACAAAGCATGACAACAATCAAGTAGAATTTCTCTTTCATCCTAACTTTAGGTCCATATTGCATGCTAACATTAGGAATAGAATTTTCCTTAGATTCTTCATTCCCCTTTTGCATCTTTAAGACTAAAACTCTTTTTTTTTTTATCAAATTCAAAAATACTTAATCGTACTTAAACACTTTCCACAATAACAAAACACGAACAAATCAAACGTGATGTCTTTGCCTTGAGGGCGTAACTCAAAATATTTTCAAAAGGGTTTGTCACCCATAAAAAACACCAAGAAACAGAAAATTTTGAGCCGAACTACAGCGGTCTGATTCCTCGAAAGGGATACGTAGGCATTAGGTCGTGGGGCATAGGCGAGCAAAACTTTGTAAATCTTCCTTCCTTTCCCCGTATTTTCTCTCATATGCATTTACTTTTAACATTAAGCTTTAGACATAGATTTTATACACCCTTAGATTACAAAAAACTTAAGTGGGTCCTATGGAGTACCACAGACGTGAGGGGTACTAATACCTTCCTCTCGCGTAACCGACTTCCATACCCTTTCTCTTTGTTGCAAGACCAGCTTATCCATTTCTTTGGGGTTCTCTCGATATCTTCCCTTCCTTCGGGATAAATAGAGTTCGGTGGCGACTCTGTGTTTTTTCGTGATGCGACAAAATGCACACCACATGTTGAATTCAGTTGAGTTTCTTGGTGCTTTGACGCCTACTTGGCTACACCATCTCATCCGTGACGAGTTACCGCAATGAAAATTGCCTACGTGGCCTTACTAACCCATCAGTCATCCAAACGCATGTGAGTATAACCAAGTTCAACACGCCTTCTTGAACGCACAAACTCACCGGATGAAAGCCTAGTGATGTAGCCTACTTGGCATCACTAGAGGTGAGTTGACCGAGAAGTATATCCTATATGGTATCACTACCTCAACATACCAAGCACGCCGATGATTAATCCAAGTGGGAACACCTTAAATAACCTCACTTACATCATCGTAATGGTAGCCCAGGTGTGTACAACATACCAAGAACGCAAGTGCTATTAGCGGTTGGTGGAAACACCCTTTTTTCATTTGACGCACACAAGCACATTGCAACGGTATATTTCCATTATAAGGGGTTTACCGCTTAATAGTAGGTCTACTTAGATTCAAGTATATATCACACACATCGAGATCACACAACACGATGTACATAATCACAGAATCACACATATCTGAATGTTCAACCTGAAACGAACGGAAACCACAAGTGATCATATCATGACATTTCAAGCATAATGTAGTTTGAACATAACAATGCATATTCATATTACAATCACTTAATTGTTAAATCATAGTATTCATAGTCTACAACACCTTAGAAAATCAAGGATTAATTACAGAGGCATTCGGTTCCAGTTTCTGGAATAACACTACACTCGGAGAATTAATTTACAAAGTTTGGTGTCCCAAGTCGCGCTGAGCATGGTCATAGCATGATCACTTCCAGGTTACGCTAAGCGCGGTTCCACGCACTGAGCACGGTCTGCAAAACCATAATTTTCCAAGTACAAAGGTGCACGCTAAGCGCAGCATTTCGTGATAAGCGCGATCTGTGATTTGCAGAAAAATCATAACAAAGACAGTTCTGTCTTGGTGTTCCAAATCCCCATTTTCACACCTCAAATCAAGTACCCATAGCATAAACAGACCGATAACATACAATATACATGCTATTCATCATTATAATCCAACATGCATAAACAATTTCTAACCTAAACCCTTAATCCCAATTCATACAATTTCCCCTAAACCTCAAAGTCTCTCTCTATGAGACTCACCTTGTTAGAAGGATGAAGAAGAGTTGTGAAAATCAGAAGGAATGGTGGAGATGAGGATGAATCTTGAGTTTCATGCAAGGAATGAAAAGTTGGGATTGAACTTCTTCTTCTCTTTTCTTCCCTTTCTACGTTTATTTCTCTCTATCTCTTTACAAATTCTGATTTTTGTTCAATGAGGAAGTGAGACACTAACCAAACAACACCTAATATCCACTTATGAGGTAAAAGATCATAAACCCTTATCCCTCATTTAGTTATGCTTTTTAATTTCCAAATATATTCATATACTCTAAATGATGAAAGTATTTTATGATTATTCTCTAATAATCATCACCATTTAAACTAGCAATGACATTAGGAATTAATAATAATACCGGGTGTTACATTCTCGCCCCCCCCCCCTTAAATTAGAATTCATCCTCGAATTTGAAAACTTACCAGAAAAGATGAGGGTAAATATCTCGCATCTCATACTCGAGTTCCCAAGTAGCTTCCTTAGGACGGAACTCTTCCCATAATACCTTCACAAGAGGGATCTCCTTACTCCTCAAGGATTTACTAGCATGCTCCAAAATGCACACATGTTGCAGCTGAAAAGAAACATCTGGTTTTATCTCAACGGTATCTGGAAGAATAGGATGAAATAAGTCTGGAGTGAACTTTCGAAGTTGAGACACATGAAATACATCATGCAGCCCATATAGTGAAGGAGGCAACACTAACTGGTATGCATCTTCACCTACCTGTTCCATGATCAAATAAGGTCCCACATATCTCAGACTAAGTTTTCTCGTCTTAAACGGTCCTTTCAACCTTAGCCTTAGAGTAACTTTCAAAAACACGTGATCGCCTTCAGCAAATTCCAAAGGTCTTCTCCTTTTATCTGCATAACTCTCCCCTGAATATCTTGCGCTTTCTTTATCTTTTCTTGTACCGTCTTAATCTTCTCCGTCGTTTCTTAAATTATTTATGGTCCAAGAATTCTTTTTTCACCAACTTCAGACTAACACAATGATGATCAACATTTTCTTCCATATAAGGCTTCATATGGTGCCATGCCGATACTCTAGTGATAGATATTGTTGTATGCAAATTGTACCAAGGGTAAATGATCCTTCCAATTCCCACCACTTTTAAGAAGACAGGCTCTCATCATATCCTCTATTGTTTGAATTGTTCTTTTTGTTTTCCCATCGGTCTACAGATGATTAGAAGTACTCAATTTCAAATTCGTTCCCATTTCATAACGAAATGCCTTCCAAAACCATGAAGTCAACTTTGGATCTCTATCCGATAAAATACCACACGACACCCCGTGCAACCTTACAATATCTACTACAAGAGTCTTGCTAGATGAACCACCTTGTGAGTCATCTTAACTAACAATAAATGTGCGGACTTTGTCAATCGATCTACGATCACCCATATAGAGTCATAACCACCTAAGGTACACGGTAATCCTACAATGAATTACATGAATATACTATTCCTCTTCCATATAGGAATGTCCAATGGTTGTAATATACCACTGGGCCTCTGGTGCTCTATTTTCCCTTGTTGACAAATCGCACATTGCTCTACATAACTAGCAACATCTCGTTTCATATCGGGCCATCAAAATCTCTTCTTTAAGTCTTGATACATTTTGGTAGATCCGGGATGAATGGTAAATTTACTCTTGTGGGCCTCTTCTAGAACCAATCTCTTTAACTCTACACCACTGGGTACACACACTCTATGTCTAAATAGAATAACTCCATCGCTTGCTCGGGGGAAATTCGGGAGGCTTTCCTTAGCTTACAACTCTGCATCATTCCATTGTGTCTGGCGGATTCTTTCCCGCAACTCCTTCTCAATATTCAGGTTACTGATCAATATGCCTGTTGAGTCCCATTTAAACTGTAGATCAAGGTTTCTGAATTTCTCCAAAAGATCAAACTCTGACATCATCAGTTCTGCAACGCGAATCTCCTTTCTACTCAGGGTATCCTCTACTTTGTTAGCTTTCCTGGGATGGTATTTCAATTCAAAATCATAGTCTTTAAGATATTTCATCCATATCCTTTGACGCATATTGAGTTCCTTCTGATAAAAGAGATATTTCATGCTCTTATGATCACTAAACATCTCAAAGTAAACTCCATACAAATAGTGTTGCCACACTTTAAGAGCGAAAACAATAGCGGCAAGTTCCAAGTCATGGGTAGGATAGTTCTCTTTGTATGGTCTCAATTGTCGAGACACATATGCCACAACATGACCATCTTGCATGAGTACACCACCCAAACCATTATGGGAAGCATCACAGGAAACTTCATAGGATCGCTCTGGATCTGGGATCACTAATATAGGAGCGGTAGTTAGTTTCTCCTTCAACTTCTAGAAGCTTCTCTAACATTCAGAATTCCAATCTTAAGAAACATCCATCCTTGTAAGCCTTATCAAAGGTAGTGCCAATTTTGAAAATCCCATAATGAACCTTTGATAGT